GCCCCGCCCGCCCCGCCCGCGGGAGCCACACCCACCGGCTCCTCTTGGTTCTCAGGTTCTGCTCGTCCCTGCCGTCCTCCACGCTCGGTGCGCCACAGGGGTCAGCTGGAAGAAAGCCAGGGTGGCTGGGCTGGGGTGCGGCCAGCCCCGGGAAGCCCCCACTTCTAAGCAGAGTCGGTTGGAAGTTAAGGACACAGGCGGCCTCCAGCTGCAGGGCGGCTCTCTGCGCACAGGGAGCCGCCTCCAGGGTGACCCCTGGGGGGGACCCCAGCTGCGGGCCGCGCGCCAGGGCCCGGTCCAGCCCGCCCCAGGTCGGGTCCCCCTGAGCGGCAGTGTCACCGCTGACCTCGAGCCGCTCCAAAAGGCCGCTGGGACAGGCCTCGGCCTGCGGGAAAGGACCACGGCCTCCAGCGAAATGCCCTCCGGGGGCCCAGGGCAGCAGGCGCGGCACGGAGGGCCGGGCCACCCACCCCGCAGAGGGCCGCAGACGCCTCCCTGGAGCCTCCCTGCGAGGCCCCGTGTCCACCGGTGCTGTGCACGGCGCTGTCCTCCAGGCCTGTGGGCCACAGCAAAGGCCAGCCCTGCCCGGTCCCCTCAGCCTGTGACTCACCCCTGCGGCCACCCCACGACTTGTCCGCAGAAGCTGACGGCTCTCGGCCTGCTCCGAGCCTGGGAGCCACGGCCGGCAGAGTCCCACGGCCGAGGACCACCGTCCCCGGCGCTGTGGGTGGGCAGGACCAGACAGACAACTCCCAGCTCACCCCGCGCCTGACTGTCCCCCCGAGGCCTCCCACGGCTGCACTGCCATGGACGCCCCCGGCCCACCCGGGAGGCCAGGGCCGGCAGAGAGGGAGCCCAGGGGAGCCCAGGGCCCGGCCGGCTCCTCCACCCTGCACCGCACAGCTGGGCTGGATGAGGACCCCACAGATGGGGCACATCTGGGCCTATGGCCCTGGGGAGCGGCCCCTCCTCCACCCGCCTCCCTGGGCTCCAGGAGGGTGGGGCCGGTGCCAAGGGCAGGGCGGGGCTCCCAGTACCGCACAAGGCCCCAGCCCATCCCCGGCTGTCTGCGCTCCTGGGGGGGTCTCCTCGGGGAGAGCCGAGGAGCACAAAGCCCCCAGAAGTGAGTGGGCGCGGAGGAGCTGGGGTCAGAGCCCACCCGCCCGCCTTTCCGCCACATTCCGCCAGCACCTCTGGGTCCCTGTGCGCCAGGGGCCTCCCCAGCTAGCGTGGCACCCCGGCCCCCACCCAGGAGTCCAGCGGAAGCCCCTTCCTCGGGGGCCCCCCGCCTGCTCCCCAGCACCCCAGCCCCTGCGGCTGCCCAGGCCGCGCGTCTGAGAAGCGGCACTGGGGCCCGCTGGCCCTCTGCCCTCTCCCGGCCCCGCTGCTGGGCTCGCCCTTGATTAAGGTTGGGGGGCCATGTTCGCACGGCCCCCCGGCCTGCCACAGGTGTGGCGCAGCGCTCACAGGCGCTTCGGCTCTGAATCCGAGGGAGGGGGGGAGGGGGGCGGCGCTTCCGGCGGGCGGGGCGCAGGGAAGCCAGGATCCCCGAGGGAAGCCGGCGCTCTCCACCCCAGTGCTCCCAGAGTTTGGCAGCAAGCTGCCGGGCAGCCTGGACTGGGGCCCTCCCGTCCCCCCTCCGCCCCCGCCCCGCCCCCCCAGGCGGGCAGATCCAGGGACATCCCCCCCAGGCCACCCCTTCAACAGGCCTGAGCTGGGGGCCCTCCCCGCCAGCAGAGCCCCGGGAGCGCAAGGGGAGAGAGGACCCGATGGGGTGGGGGTAGGGCTGTGGGGCGAGGCTGGACCCCACCAGGGAGCCCCCATGGGCGCTGGGCGGGGGACGCAGGCAGACACCACCCTCGCCCGCAGCCTCCTCCGCGCCGGCTGTTCTCCACTAACGGCTCAGCGCGGCCATAAAAAATCTGGGTGCGCCGCAAGGTGATTGGAAATAACTCAGCTTCGCCTGCCGCCCGCAGCAATGTCACCCCGAGGAGGTTCCGCGGCGGGAGGGGGGCGGGGCTCCTGCGCAGGCTGCTCAGAAGTGGGGCGCAGTCAGTGCCTGCAGCCCACCCGCTCCGGAGGAACACGGGCTCGCACACGGGCACACAGGGGTCCCCAGTTACCAGCAGCATCCGAACTGAGGAGGGACTCGGCCTCCCGCCCCCCAACCCCACCACCGCCACAGCCCGGGCTGCTCCTGGAGCCTCCGCGCGGTCCCCGGTGCCCGGGCGCACACGGCTGTGGGTTGGCCGGGGCGCTTGGGAGACCCTCCGCGAGGACCCTGGTTCCAGCCCCCACCCCCGCGCCCAGCCCGCAAACCCATCTGGCGGGAGGCGCCGCCGGAACCGCCTCCCCACCGTGGGGCGCCGCCCCGGCCCGGACACCCGCAGCCCCCCCGCGTGGCAGGCACCCGTCGAGACCGCGCCCCTAGGCAGCAACCGCCCAGGCCACCCACCCTGAGCACCGCCGAGGCGCTGGAGACCCAGGCGGAAACCCCGCGCCGGCGTCCTCTGAAGCGCCCTGGCCGTGGCCAGGGG